TATGATTTGTGAGTAGTTACATTTGTTCCTGAGGAAATGGGAGAAGTCTTGCTATAAGTAGTCATGTGAATTTGGTATTCGTTCGATATTTCGATGAGATGCATGTTGTCTCTCCTCTAGTGGTGTTATGTGAACGTCGACTACATGACACTTCACAATTGTTTGGGCCTAGAGGAAGGCATTGGGAAGTAATAAGTAGATGATGGGTTGCTAGAGTGACAGAAGCTTAAACCATAGTTTATGAGTTGCTTCATAAGGGGCTGATTTGGATCCACATGTTTCATGCTATGGTTAGGTTTACCTTAATACTTCTTTTGTAGTTGCGGATGCTTGCAATAGGGGTTAATCATAAGTGGGATGCTTGTCCAAGAAAGGGCAGTACCCAAGCACTGGTCCACCCACATATCAAATTATCAAAGTAACGAACGCGAATCATATGACCATGATGAAAACTAGCTTGATGATAATTCCCATGTATCCTCGGGAGCGTTTTCCTTCATATAAGAATTTGTCCAGGCTTGTCCTTTGCTACAAAAGTATTGGGCCACCTTGCTGCACCTTATTTACTTTTGTTACTTGTTACCCGTTAGGAATTACCTTATCACAAAACCATCTGTTACTGATAATTTCAGTGCTTGCAGAGAATACCTTATTGAAAACTGCTTGTCATTTCCTTCTACTCCTCATTGGGTTCGACACTCTTACTTATCGAAAGGACTACGATAGATCCCCTACACTTATGGGCCATCAGTCAACCAGAGCATGATCCGCACCAGAGTGGTACGACAATCCTGTTCTGGAAGTCATGTTACTTGACCATGACGAACCTACAAACTATGAAGAATCTATGATGAGCCCAAATTCCAATATATGGCTTGAGGCCATGAAATCTGAGATATGATCCATGTATGAGAACAAAGTGTGGACTGTGGTGGATTTGCCCGATGATCGACGGCCCATAGAGAATAAATGGATCTTCAAAAAGAATACTGATGCTGATGGTAATGTTACTATCTATAAAGCTCGACTTGTCGCAAAAGGTTTTCGACAAGTTCAAGGAGTTGACTACGATGAGACTTTCTCACCCGTAGCGATGCTTAAGTCTGTCCGAATCATGTTAGCAATTGCCGCATTTTATGATTATGAAATCTGGCAAATGGATGTCAAAACTGCATTCCTTAATGGATTTCTTAAAGAAGAGTTGTATATGATGCAACCAGAAGGTTTTGTCGATCCTAAAGGTACTAACAAAGTGTGCAAGCTCCAGCGATCCATTTATGGACTGGTGCAAGCATCTCGAAGTTGGAATATATGCTTTGATGAGGTGATCAAAGCATATGGTTTTATACAAACTTTTGGAGAAGCCTGTATTTACAAGAAAGTGAGTGGGAGCTCTGTAGCATTTCCAATATTATATGTGGATGACATATGGTTGATTGGAAATGATATAGAATTTCTGGATAGCATAAAAGGATACTTGAATAAAAAAAATCAATGAAAGACCTCAGTGAAGTTGCTTATATATTATGCATCAAGATCTATAGAGATAGATCAAGACGCTCAATAGGACTTTCACAAAGCACATACCTTGATAAAGTTTTGAAGAAGTTCAAAATGGATCAGTCAAAGAAAGGGTTCTTGCTTGCGTTACAAGGTGTGAAGTTGAGTCAGACTCAATGCCCGATCACTGCAGAAGATTATGAGAAAATGAAAGTCATTCCCTATGCCTCAGCCATAGGTTCTATCATGTATGCTATGCTGTGCACCAGACCTGATGTGTGCCTTGCTATAAGTTTAGCAGGGAGGTACCAAAGTAATCCAGGAGTGGATCACTGGACAATGGCCAAGAACATCGTGAAGTACCTGAAAAAGACTAGGGATATGTTTCTCGTTTATGGAGGTGACAAAGAGCTCATCGTAAATGGTTACGTCGGTGCTAGCTTTGACACTGATCTAGATGACTCTAAGTCACAAACCGGATACGTATTTTTATTGAATGGTGGAGCTGTCAGTTGGTGCAGTTCCAAGCAGAGCGTCGTTGCGGGATCTACGTGTGAAGCGGAGTACATAGATGCTTCGGAAGCAGCAAATGAAGAAGTCTGGATGAAGGAGTTCATATCCGATCTAGGTGTAATACCTAGTGCATCGGGTCCAATGAAAATCTTTTGTGACAATACTGGAGCAATTGCCTTAGCGAAGGAATCTAGATTTCACAAAAAGACCAAACACATCAAGCGACGCTTCAACACCATCCGTGACCTGGTCAAGGAGGGAGACATAAAGATTTGCAAAATACATACGGATCTGAATGTGGCAGACCCGTTGACTAAGCCTCTTCCATGAGCAAAACGTGATCAACACCAGGAATCCATGGGTGTTAGAATCATTACAATGTAATCTAGATTATTGACTCTAGTGCAAGTGGGAGACTAAAGGAAATATGCCCTAGAGGCAATAATAAAGTTGTTATTTTATATTTCCTTATTCATGATAAATGTTTATTATTCATGCTAGAATTGTATTAACCGGAAACTTGATACATGTGTGGATACATAGACAAAACACCGTGTCCCTAGTATGCCTCTACTTGACTAGCTCGTTAATCCAAGATGGTTAAGTTTTCTAACCATAGACATGTGTTGTCATTTGATGAACGAGATCACATCATTCGGAGAATGATGTGATGGACAAGACCCATTCGTTAGCTTAGCATTATGATCGTTCAGTTTTATTGCTACTGCTTTCTTCATGTCAATTACATATTCCTCCGACTATGAGATTATGCAACTCCCGGATACCGGAGGAATACCTTGTGTGCTATCAAACATCACAACGTAATTGGGTGATTATAGAGATGCTCTACAGGTATCTCCGAAGGTGTTTGTAGGGTTGACATAGATCGAGATTAGGATTTGTCACTCCGAGTACCGGAGAGCTATCTCTGGGCCCTCTCGGTAATGCACAACATAATAAGCCTTGCAAGCAAAGTGACTAATGAGTTAGTTGCAGGATGATGCATTACAGAATGAGTAAGGAGACTTGCCGGTAACGAGATCGAACTAGGTATGAAGATACCGACGATCGAATCTCGGGCAAGTAACATACCGATGACAAAGGGAATAACGTATGTTGGCATAACGGTTCGACCGATATAGATCTTCGTAGAATATGTGGGAGCCAATATGAGCATCCATGTTTTGCTATTGGTTATTGACCAGAGAGGTGTCTCGGTCATGTCTACATAGTTCTCAAACCCGTAGGGTTCGCACGCTTAACATTTGATGACGATTTTGTATTATATGAGTTATGTGATTTGGTGACCGAATGTTGTTCGGAGTCCCAGATGAGATCACGAACACGACGAGGAGTCTCGAAATGGTCGAGAGGTAAAGATTGATATATAGAACGATGGTATACGGACACCGGAAGTGTTCCGGGGTATATTAGGTACATATCGGAGTATGGGGGGGGGGGTTACCGGAACCCCCACCCGGGGGGAAGATATGGGCCATATGGGCCATAAGAGGGGAGCAAACCATCCCACAAGGGGTGGCGCGCCCCCCTTAGGCATGTGGCCGAATTGGATAAGGAGGAGAAGGGGTTCGGCCCCCCTTCCTTCTCTCCTTCCCCATTCCCTTTTCTCTCCGGCAAAAAGAAGGAAGGGGCAGGCCGAATTGGACTAGGGGCCCAAGTAGGATTCCTCCTACTTGGGCGCGCCCTAGGCTCCCTCTCTCCCTCTCCCAGCTAAATATACGTGGGGAGGGGGCGCCTAGAACACACACCAACGATTGTTAGCCGTGTGCGGCGTCCCCCTCCATAATTTATGCCTCCGGTCATATTCACGTAGTTCTTAGGCTAAGCCCTGCGCGGATAACTTCACCATCACCGTCACCACGCCGTCGTGCAGACGACACTCTTCTACTTCCTTGACACTCTGCTAGATCAAGAGTTCGAGGGACGTCATCGAGGTGAACGTGTGCAAAACTCGGACGTGCCATACGTTCGGTACTTGATTGGTCGGAACGAGAAGAAGTTCGACTACATCAACCGTGTTGGCAACCGCTTCCGCTTTCGGTCTACAAGGGTACATGGATTCACTCTCCCCCTCTCGTTGCTATGCATCTCCTAGATAGATCTTGCGTGAGCGTAGGATTTTTTTTAAAATTGCATGCTACGTTTCCCTACAAAAGTGGATCAGACGCTCTGAGTAGTGTAAAATCAGAGAGATAGCTGAAAAAATGGGACACTTTTTTTTTATTCTTGGAGTTTGCTCTTTAAGCACACCCGAGAAAGAAACTCAAGCAACATCAATCCCCTTTTGATAGTATCGGGACTTCTATGGACTCAATGTGATCTTGGATTATCAAAATGTAAAAGTTAAGTCCAAGTCTTGTCAATACTTGTTCATTTTGAAGTAGGGATGGCGAACCATTTCTTTTGTTGCATCTTTTGCGGCGTAATCTCAAATAGACTTGTTAAATTATTAGTCCCTTGAGATATATAATTACTAAAACCCACCTAGGGGTTGAAGATGCACTTGTAGACCTCCAGCCCCCGCCCCCTCCGCGTTTAAAAATATGGACATAACTGTTCATTGACCATGACATCTACACTTCCTACCTACACTATTGGTCTAATCCAATTAACATGCTGCACTAGGAAACCTTTCATTAACAAAAAAACAAAGGAAATCTAATTGATCTTATCATAAGTTTTTTTCGAGATCCACCTTCGTACTAATCTCATGCAAAGAGTCATGAAGATCCCATCATCTATAATATATCCACCTTTAATAAAGGATGTTTGAACCGGAGCAACCACTTTATGTGCTGAACTAATAGTTCTATTATTTACTACCTTTGTGATCCATTCAAAAATCACATTGAGCAAACATATAGGCCTATACAATTATATTTTACCAGCTTCCCGTTTTTTGGGAAAAAAGGGACAGTATAGTTCAATCTAGAAATATCATATTGAATACATGTATGTGTGATTGTCTAAGGGTCCAAATGCTCCGTATTCAGGGGTTTGTCGGACTGTTGTGCCTTGGCCCGGACTTCCCCATATAAGTAGGAGACGAAGCCCCAAAGGGAGAGCGCGAGGGCGACACCTTTGGTGCCGTTGAATGGCTCATGAAAGAACAGGACGGCGAGCACCTCAGTCACTGGGATGAGCACGGTCATGATGACACCGGCAAGTAGTGCCGAGCCATAGAAGATGGCGCCGATGGTGCCGAGGAAGAAGAACTGGTACACAATGGCCGAACCGGCTAGCAGTAGGTAGTAGCCAATCTGACCGAGCCCGAACTCCCGGGCTTCTCTTGGGATGGCCTGCATATGAATCTCCCGTTAAAATAACGTATCTTCATTGAAAATCATCAACCTTTTGTAATGAAGTACATGATATACTTGAACTTCTATCTCCTTTGAGAAAAAGAAAAATCAAAGTCACAACCGACTAAAATTTCAAGTCTTAGTCGTTTTTACAATTTTGTTGGTCTAAAAACTGTCCAGTGTGTAATACTCGTACATCCAGAATAAAAATATACGTAATGTTTATTCCTAGAGCGTGAAGAATGCACAACTTTGTACGGGCCACAAAATCAAATCAATGGTGCTCGGTGTCGATTGGAACGTAAGAAGAAGAAAAAAACAGTCAGCCGAGACTTGGCAAAACGGAAAGGTAAATTGGAAAGAATAACTTGCACTTACTTGTGACTTGTGAAGTACTACCAAGTATGTGAGGTTAGAGCAACCATAGCCGATAAAAAAAAAAGAGTAAGAGCAACTCTAGCGGATCCCCTAAAAGTGTATAGCGAGTAAAATTTTGGTTCTACTCATCTATGCACCACCTAGCCGAACTCCTAAATTCTATAAGGGAGTAAAAAAATTACTCCTCCGCCACAATCCCCCCATAGCGCCTAAATATACTCGGCGCGGCCGAGTAAAACTTGACTCGCCTCTTTCTCCCGCCGGCGCGGCTGCGTCCTCGCCGCTCCACGCGTCACCGTCGCCACCGATGACCGCCCAATCGCCGGAATGGGTAGCCAAGACCCTTCCACCACCCCGCCGGCCACCGCCGCCGGCTTGTCGCCGTCGAAAACCACCTCTGCGGCGTCGCCCGCACCGAAAAAGAAGTTGGGGATAGGCTAGAGTTGCCTTAGAGGAGTAAAACCAAACTTTTACTCTTGAATAGCTTTTTAAGGGATCGGATAGAGATGCTCTTACATCCATACAAAAATTCGACACTCATATGTCCATAAACGGGCAAAATCCAAGTTCTTTGCAAGAAAGCAAATAAACTATCTTTGCCCCCTTGGTTGTACGCGTAGCTTTCCCCTATACATGCATATGTCCGATCCTTTTCGACGCCAAAACTCATCACTCTATGCTATGCAAAGCTACTACACGCAAAGGCGCTCTCGTATCTCCCAATCACGACATCATCTACACGGCTAGCGTTTTCCTATCCGAGAAAGACGTACTCCAATAAGTATGGACTAGTTGTCCAATGATTGGATTTTGCCGGATGAGCATAGCTATACGTACGTATAGTCTAGTACACGTCGCGCAACTTGCCAAGGGAAGGTTCAAATCTTGATCACTGGCATTTATGGTTTCTGCGGTCGTTTCTAGACACTTTCTTGCAGTGACCGATTTTATTGGCGCTATGCGAATTTTTTTTTTTGAGGGTCGGCGCTATGCGAATATTGGTACGTAGAGTAGTGTCCTATCTTTAAGAAACGTGCTCCTTTGGGAAAGCGCTAAACTTACGATCAACGAAGATCTACATTTCTTAGTGGGCCAAAATAGTTTACCATATCTGTGCAGTTTTTCGGCCGTGCTTTTTACCTAGTAGTCTTGCAGTTGCATCACTTGGATGATGACACAAAGGAACTAAGTTCGGTCTGTTCATGCTATGCTGTACCAACCAGAAACGGTAACGTTGTTGTGAACAAGTTCGAAAATGGGCGATAACTTATTTTAGATCGGAGGGAGTACTGTTTACTAAAGTTAGTAGAGTTAGTTACTGTTACATGGGAATTTTTTTTGCCGCTAGTTTTGGAAGCTGGGAGACAGTCGGTGGAGCTGGAAGCCAAGATGGGCTGGGATCGGAAAGGGTGGTGGCCACAGGGAGCCAACGGGTAAGTCACGCGGTTCAAGTCACGCGGTTCTGCTGCGAGCCGGCAGTTCAAGTTGTACTGCAGCAGCACTACAAGAAAGTGTATGTGGGGCTGTATAACAAGTTAACAACAGCAGCAGAAGAAGAGCTGTGGGCTGAAAAACTTACGTGGAAATCGTTGTTCACAAACATCCCGATGGCACTGAAGGCCGTAGCGGTGAACCCGATGACGATCTGCATCTCCATGACAAGGGTGTACGTGACGGCCGCGCCGGTCCTCGCCGCGTGCCTCGCTTGGCTGAGCTCCATGACGGGCAGCATGAGGCCGTAGAGCGCCGCGGCGCCCAGCGTCATGCCGAACCCGGCGTAGTACTGCGCCCGCGTCACCCCCGCGGGGCGGTCACCTCCGGCGTTCATGCCCAGCATGGCGGCGCCGACGCTGAGCAGCACCACGGCGTTCACGGAGAAGGCCGTGAAGCGCTGGCGCACGAGCAGCAGCGCGAAGCCGGCCGTGAAGGCCAGCTGCGTGGAGATGAGGATGGAGGAGGTGGACACCGGGAGGTAGGCCAGCCCGTAGGCGTAGAGGAGGTCGTCGAGGCCGGTCATGAGGCCGACGGCGACGGTCGCGACCAGGAGGCGGGGCGACATGAGGAAGAGCGGCGTGGCCGAGCAGCCGTTTTTGTTGCTCCGGCGGCGGGAGAGAAAGGAGGCGCTGAGCGGCGCGAGCAGGAGCGGCCAGCCGGCGGTCTGGAGCAGGCTGGAGAGCCACTTTCGCGTGCCGCCATGGAGGAAGTAGGCGCGGAGGAGGAGCGGGCCGAACGCCGAGCCGACGACCATGAGGAGGAAGTTGATGACGAGGAGGGGGTTGTGGCGGAGCGGTTTAGCGGCGCCGCTGGGGAGCTGCTCGACGCTGCCGTTCTTGCATGGTTGCTGCTGCGCGCGGCGCTGGGCTGTTGCTTCCACCTCCATGGCCGAGGTGGCCGGCCGGCTGATCTCGATCGAGGTTTGGGAGGGAGGGAAGCTGCCCGGCTCTAGCTAGGGCGAGGGTGCGTGCACAGTGTGAGTACGTGCGCTAGCTATATACTGGCGCGAGATGCAAAAGCGTCGGCGTTCTCAGCGTGCCATACGATACGATGTGTTTTTCTTCAAGAGGGATGGTGCGCGTTGTTCTAGGAGAACAATCAACACGATAAGGTGCGCGTACGTACGTACGTAGGTCCCTGCGAGAGCTAGCGCATCCTTGCGTGCACCCCGGTACTCTCGATACCGCAACACTCTGATAAATCATGGAAAACTAGCTAATACATATGCATTTCTTTTGCGGGGAAACACACATGTATTTATTATGGACCAACAAATGATCTGTACTATTAAAGGAGGATCGAATGTCGTGATGGTTCGACCTACCCCTATAGTGGGAACCAAGCGATGGTTCAACCTCTCTCACGTACAATCCCACGGATAAAAAAGTCGCCCGAAAAAATACCACGACGGTTAGCAGAAAAAAAAGGAAAGCACAATCTCCACCTCTTCCCACGACGCACCAGAACAAGCCGCCGCCGTCCTCCCATGCGACCACTCGGCGCCCTCCCTCTTCTAGTTGGTCACGAATCAGAGGAGGCGACACTTCGAATCCCCTCTTCCATCGGCGGCCGGCTGTGACGTATCAAAGGTGGCGTTGGCGACCGGTAGTGTGAAGCCCATCTTCAGATCTTCCCGTCAGCAAAGTCTATCCTCCACAAGGACTTCTCCATGCATGTGCGCGCGCGGGGAGTCTCCAAACGCGCGCTACAGGCTACAGCCTTAGGTTTGGTCGTCTCTTCTACCTTAATCATGTTTAGACCATTCCATTATTGATAGTAGTTATCACGAGGAATCCCTCATATCTGGATTGAGAATTTGCTCCTATAGGATTTTCATCCGTGTGGTGCTCTGCTCGATTGGCATACAGTATTAGGCAACCTGTACATGGCCAAAAAAGCGCTGAGCGCCGAATCCCATCCTCAAGCAGGCTTACAAATTGAAGATACCTAGACTCCCATGAGGTGGGCATCATCAGGTAAAGCTAGGTTATGAACAACGTCAACTCATATGAGGATGCCTAGAAGATCATTCGGATTCATTTATTGCTATTGCTGCACGGCAACATCTTTCATTGTTGTTATTGTTGTTACAAAAAAATATCCCAATGTACACATTGTATTTGCCAATGTAACAGCATGATTAATCTCAACCTGGGACAGTGCATTATTTTCTAAGTATAGTCAAACATCACTAGATATATACTCTGAACAGTCAATTGAACATGCTAACACCAGGAAAAAAACATGCTTGCATTTTCTTAGATGGTATATAGGACCTGAATACTAATTGTCGGACTGCCGACGTGCTATGTATATTGTAATAGGACTACGTGGATGATAATATCATTAGAAAAACATGAAATAATTACCGTGGTGTTAATTTACTCGAAGTGAGTATACACTACAATGCTTATCATAGTTTTATACTTCTATTGTGCAAGCTTATGTATTCTAGATTATTATTTTTTGCTAGGGAACTCTGAAGCATGTGGTTGAAGAAAATCTACAGTCTGGGAAAGAATTTGCATATTCAAGGGAAGGACTGCAAGCTGATGAGACTAACAATTTGCACGACAGCAGACAAAGCTTCACTACAGAGTTCCGCATAGGGATATGGTTTTTGCAAAGGTAATTGAGATTTTTTTTTCTGTGGATGAAGCAATACTTATTGAGCGGTATTAATTTTTTTTTCCGCGAATACGCAAAACTTTGCGTATCATTGCATTGATAGAAGAAAAGAACAACAGCAGTTACAGGGTAGGTCTCACAAGCACGTACGCCAAGGGCGTGAGCGAGAGCTACAAGGGCGCAAACACAAAGAGGGGGGTTGCGCGTCCCCTAAAAGGAAACTACGCAGGCGGGAGCATGTTGCTGAGCCCCTTGGCTCCGGCGGCGGCCCAGTTGTGGGCGTCTTCCTTGATGTCGTGCACGAGGAGCGGAATAGATGGGGTTGCTCCGTTGAAGACGCAAGCGTTTCTCGCCTTCCAGATACGCCACGCTGTGAGCAAGATGAGCGAGGCTAAGCCGCGACGAAGGGTGGTGGGGGTGTCCTCGACGGACTGGGCAAACCAGTCACGAAAACACAGCCTGGGGGCTGGTAGAGGCATGTTAGGGACCCGGATCCAAGAAAGGACTTCGTGCCAGGTTTGCCTGGAGAAGACACAACCCACGAGCAGGTGCGCCATGGTCTTGGGCTCCTGGTCACAGAGGAGGCAGAGAGGGGCGTGGGTGAGGCCACGGCGAGCAAGCCGGTCAGCGGTCCAGCATCGTCCCTGGAAGGCGAGCCAGATGAAGATCTTGATGCGCAGGGGTGCCCAGGATTTCCAGGTGAGGCGCCAGGAGGGCTCGATAGTAGAGCCGACGAACATGGCTTTGTAACACGATTTGGCGGAGAGACACCACTCGGGGTCCAGCGCCAGGTGAGGGCGTCTGGTGAGGCGGAGAGCGTGACCTGATTGAGCCGCGTCCAGAGAAGGACGTATTGAACGAGCGCCTCGGGGGAGAGATGGCCCTGCACGTCGTGGATCCAGGCACGAGAGGCAAGGCCCGCGGCCACGGTGTGGACCCTGCGAAGTCGGCGAGGACGAGGGCGTGGAGAAGCGGAGCTAGCTCTGCGATGGAGAGCCCGTCGATCTAGTGGTCCTCCCAGAAAAGGCATGTGGTGCCATCACCGATCATCCAGGAGGTAGAAGCTCAAAAGATGGCCTTGACGACCGGGCTGCAAGGAATGTGAAGATGCTGCCAGGGGCGGGTGGGGTCCGTTTTGCGCAGCCAAAGCCATCGGGCTTGTAGGGCGTGGGCGGAATGCTGCAGATCGGGAATGCCGAGGCCGCCGCAAGCCAAGGGGTAGCAAACCTTAGCCCAGCTGACGAGGCAGTGGCCTCCATTGGTGGTCTTCCGCCATTGCCAGAGAAACGCACGGAGGAGGCGATTCACCTGGCGAAGGATGGAGGGGTGCAGAGACAAGGCGATCAGGATGTGCGTGGGCATCGCGCAGAACACGTGATGGAGGAGGGCCAAACACTCGCCGCGGGAGAGCAAGGACGCCCACCATGGGGAGAGTTTTTTCTCCAGCTTTTCGACAAAGGGTTGGAGGGAAGAGGCAGTGATCTTCCGAATGGAAAGCGGGAGGCCAAGATATTTGGCGGGGAACTCGCCGATTGCGCACGGGAAGTGGTCGGAGATGGACCCATGGAGCTCGGGAGGGCACCGGATGGCGATGGCCGTGCATTTGGCAAGGTTGGTGTGGAGGCCGGAGGCGGTGCCGAACAGCTCAAGAATGCGGCACACCGTGGAGAGGTCGCGTTCGTCGGGGTGGCAAAATAGCACGACGTCGTCCGTGTAGAGAGAGATGCTAGAGGCCATATGATGGTCAGTGAGACGGCGGAGGAGCCCCAGGGAGGTGGCGCACTGGAAGAGGCAGTTAAGGACGTCGAGGACAATCACAAAGAGCATGGGGGACACGGGGTCGCCCTGGCGAAGCCCCTTGCAGTGCCGGATCGGAGACCCTGGGAGCCCGTTGAGGAGCACCTTGGTGCTGGCCGTGGAGAGGAGGATGGAGGTCCAGTTGCGCCAGCGTGGACCGAAGCCCAGGTGCTGGAGCACCTCGAGGAGAAACGGCCAGGAGACAGAGTCGAAGGCGCGGGCGATGTCCAGCTTGAGGAGAACGTGCAGCAGACGGAGGGAGTGCAGTTGCCTGGCAGTCTGCTGGACGTGGATGCTCCGACCGGCAATGAAAGCACTCTGGTTGGTGGAGATGAGCTCCCCGAGACGCGGCGCGAGCCGGAGAGAGAGCACCTTGGCGAACAAGTATATGATGCTGATCGGTCTATACTCGGAAAGCGAGGAAGCTTCCGGGTGCTTGGGGAGGAGGGTGAGAAGAGCTTCATTCAGTTTGTGGAATCCGCGGCCATTGAGGTTATAGAGCTTGCCGAAGGCCTCGACGAAGTCATCACGGATGATATCCCATGCGGCGATCAGGAATTCAACGGTGCAGCCATCAGGTCCGGCCGCCTTGCCACGGGGCAGCTGGCGAACGGCGGACCAGATCTCATCGGCGGAGAAGGGTTGGTCGAGCGCGGAGAGGTCGAAGTGCCGATCATCGATCTCATAGAGGGCGATGGTATGGTCGCGGTGGTCAGTAGTGCCAAGCAGGCCAGAGAAATGGGAGAAGGCGGCCTCGGCCATGGCCGTGGGATCGGTGACGACGTCGTCGCCCACGCAGAGCTCATGGATGCGGTTCCGTTGTCTGCGGTGGGCGGCCCAAAGACGGAGGAAGGCGATATCAGTGTCGCCGGCGCGAAGCCAGGAGAGACGGACCCGTTGGCGGGCAATGGATCTTGTCGGATTTCGGGTTCCGGCAGACCCACTAGGTTCGAACTCTGGGGTGCGCGCGGAGATCTAGCCTTCTACTGCCTGCGCCTCGCCGCCTCGCTAGGATCTAAGCAATCAAAGGAACAATGCAAGAGACACAGAGTTTATACTGGTTCAGGCCACCATCGTGGTGTAATACCCTACTCCAGTGTGTGGTGTGGTAGATTGCCTCTTGGGCTGATGATGAACAATACAAGGAAGAACAGCCTCGCGAGGGTCTGTTCTTGGCTGGTGCGATGAACTACTAGGGGGAGTTCAGTCGCTCTCTCTCTCTCTATTGGTTTCCTGGTGAGGATCCTCTCGTCCCTATCTTGTGGTTGCTAGTCCTATTTATAGGCAAAGGCCCTGGGCCTCCTCCCAAATATTGAGCAGGAAGGGCGGCAACAATTGGCCATTTTGAAGGGGAACATCTAGTACACTTATCCTGGCTAAAGTTGGTCCTCGCCTGCTAAAGGCTCTGGTGGTGACACCGGCCTGGGCTCCACGATGACCTCCATCTGGCCGTTCCGCTGG